TTTATTAAAGAGTCGATTGTGAAACATTTTTATACCATGACCTTTTCTGACATCGGCAGTAACGTAAGTCTTGAGTGCTGAACCTTTGGCAGTAATTTCGTAGAGCGAGAAGGAGCCTCTTCGGTGGCTGGATAGAGGTCCTCCAGCCTTGCCACGTGTGCTCCAAAAGGGGACTTCACTGCGTGTTACAAGTGTCGGTGTTTCTCAGGACGGTCTCAGTTAGGCTTTTCATGCATTGACTGAAGAAACTGAAAAGCTTATTTATTTATTTATTTGTTTATTTATTTATTTGGTTTTCATGTATTGACTAAAGAAACCGAAACTCTTATTTATCTATCTATCTATCTATCTATCTATCTATCTATCTATCTATCTATCTATCTATTTCTTTAATTAAGTTTATTGGGATAATATTAGTTTAATACAATTACATAATTTTCAGGTGTACATTATAATTTGACATCTATATATTCTATTGTGTGATTACCACCCAAAGTCCAGTTTCCTTCAGCTACCATATATTTGATTCCCTTTACCCACTCAAATATGCATCTAAAATAGTTTTAAATATTTAATCTAATGTTTTAGTGTTTTATAGCAGGACATTTGTCAGGATGGCCAATGAATCAAGAATGCATTTAGGGTGCATGTCATCATAGGTCTTACAAACACCAAGACTAAAATTCTAGAGTACGGTGTGCCAGGGGGGCGAGAACGCACACAGGGCACCACAGGTGTTTCCTGGTTCTGTATTATCACCTCCTTGTTAAGTGACGTGGTCACGTTACCCAAAAAGTGTTGGAATGTTGCCTGCCTGCCAGCACCAAAGCACCTGTACTTTGGGGACAGCACCTTTATGGAGTGATGCTCATTTGGTGTTTCACAGCCAAACGAGGGGCCACCAGACTTCAAGCGATGGCTGCTGATGTGGTTTCCTGGGCAACCGTGAGAGCAGACTGAAGCAGGGGGCCAGTACAAATGCCGAACACAAGAAGGCATAGACCGGGCGTGCCATGGCAGCAAAGCACGGACCCTCAGGAATAAGGCGCACTCTGGAAGACCTCCCACCCCCAGTCTTTTCGGCCCCAGGCAGTCCGATTTCCCGCCACCGAAGACTTGGAACCCTTTAGTCTGTCTTGACTGATCCCGCCGAGGCGGGCAGCCCGTGATCAGCGGGGATGATGCTGTCCCAGCTCCCTCTTGCTGCTGCCTCCTCTGCTGTTACCCACAGGAGCAGACCCGTCGGCCCGTTAGGGAAGGAGCACGATCTCACGCAGGAGGGAAAGTCACATAAGTGGCGAGAAGGGGGTGCACGTGTGCCCAGGGTCCTGTCTGACTTACGGCTCCGCCTCCACTGTCGCACTCAGGTCTGTGGTCTCCTGGGCGCTCACTATGCGTGGCTTAAAGTGGACGGTGACTCTAACACAAGGTTTTAATTTAATGCGGTCAAAATAGTCACTTGTGTCTATTATTAGTGCCTTTTTGTACCTTGTTCGAGTTATCTGGCAATATCCCGAAGTTAAATAAATAAAACCACTGTTAGAGCTTCCTCTGGAAGTTTTAAAGGCCAGCTTTTTATCTTTGAGGCCTGAATACACCTGGAATTGACTTTCGCGATGGCGTTAGGTAGAGATCTAATTCCACTTTTTTCATATGTGTGCTTAGTCGTCTAGCTTCCCATGTTGCAGGACACTGACATAGTCCCCGGGGGTCTGCAGCGCGGCCCCTGTTTGACGTGCGTGTGGGGCTCTGCTTCCGGCTTCTCCGCCCGCCCGGGTGTGGACCCGACCTCCTAGCGGGAACGATTCATCTGTGCGTTTCTGCTACCTCTGCATATAAACAAGCAACTCGTCTGTAGGTGAAGACCGTGACGCCTTTCCGTCCTCTCGCCTTATTGTCACAGCGTGTGGCGGTGACAGATGGAAGTGCTGGTGTTGGCTGGCCACCGTTGACTTGTTCCTGCTTTGAGCAGAAATGCTTGCCAGCTTCTCTTGCCCCACCCGAAATCGGGAATTGCTGAGGTTTTTGACGGGGGCTCCGTGTTAGGACATGTGCGCAGACGCTGTAACAAGGCCGAGCTACAGCCGTGGCAGGCTCCTGTGGCCGCTGGTCAGCAGCAGCGGAGCCCTCCCATCCGGGGGCTGGGAAGGCCGCCCAGCCCCCGCCCTCACATTCAGACCAGCCACGGGGGAGAGAAAGTAAGAAGAGGCTGAGGGCACCCTCCATACCGCGCAAGGCACACCCCAAAATGGCCATCATCTCTCCTGCTCGTATCCCATCAGCTGGAACAATGTCTCGCGGGCGGACCAGGCTGGGTGGGGAGCCGGGAAAATGCGCTGAGCGAAACTGCTGTCACCATAGTCCACGGGGCGGGTGGACCCTGCAGAGCATGCCGCGGCCCTGCCTCGGCCGCATTAGGTCTCCTCCAGCTTCTGGGTTCCTAAGGTTTTCTTTTTTCTTCTTCTTATAGCCGAGTTGTATCGAACGCTTTCTTGGGCATTTATTGAAATGCGCAGATTGTTTTCCTCCTTAATCTCACAATAGGGGCTGTTACGACGTGTCCTGATGTTGATCCACGCCGTGTGCCAGGGCGGAACCCACTCGGACACGCTGTCCTGGTCTCATCTTCCATACACACTGCGCGACTTAGCGTTCTAATGTTTCCTTAGGATTTTTACACCTTTTTTCATGAGTGAGATAGATCTGTAATTTTCCTTTCTCACATTTTCTTCGTTTGGTTTTGGCGTCAGTGTTACATTGCCTCATAAATGCACTAGCGGCCTCCCACCCCCACTCTCTCTCCCTCTAGCCTCTGAAAACGTCCGTAAGGTACGATGCTTTTGTTCAATGGAGTCTGACGAAACTTCACCTGTGAAACCATCTGAGTCTGGCGTGTTCGGAGGTTAGATGGGGGAGGGGGTAGATTACTCATTCACTTTCCTTGTCCTTATCGTTTTCTTTAATTTTTATATTTCACTGAGTCCATTTTGATATTTTACATTTTTCTTGAAAATTGTTGTTTTCTTTGTTTTTAAACCATTCTACATTATTATATTATTTAAAAAATTATCTCTGCATGTGTAGTTGTAGTCTTTTATATTGTCTAATTTTCTATTTGAATTTCTGCTATTGTTTATTTGTATCTTTTCTCCTTCTCAATCCGTCTCACAAGAGGTTCGTTTGCCTGTTTCGTAGTCTTTTCAGAGAACCAGCTTTTGATTTTATTGCTTTTCTCACTTGTATTTCTGTTTCCTATTTCAGAAGCACATTAATTTTTACTTTTTACTTTACCCTCATAACTTTATTTTACTCTTGTATTTTGTTGTCTTTTTGTGTTAAATGCTTAACTTATTTATTTTCGATTTTTTTTAGGAAGTACATTTAAAGTATAAATTACCCTTATGTAGTGCTTTACTGCATCCTCCAAGAGTTCATAGGAGGTACTTTGATTGTCACTCACTCAAAATATTTTGTTATTTTCATTGTAACGTTCTCCTCACCTCATGAGGTATTTATGTGTGCATTTCAAGGTATCCGGATGTGTCTATATGTGTATCTATATATATATATATAACTATATCTTCATTGTTAATTTAAAATGTTTACTGTCGTCAGGTAATGTGATATCAATTCTTCGAAATTAATGTAGACTTCCTTTATAACTTAATGTTTGACCAATTTTTAAGATATTCTATATTAACCAAAAATGTGCATTCTGTATTTGTTGGTTGTTATCTGCCCATTAGCTCACGTTTGTTAATTTTGTTGTTTAAATCTGCTAAATACTTATTAAACATTGTGTGATTTATCTGTTTTTGATAAAAGTGAGTTAAGACCTCTCACTATGATTGTAAATTTATTTTTTTCTTATAATTCCATTTTAGTTTATATATTTTGAGTCTGTAGTTAAAAGGGCATACGGATTCATGATCATTAAATCTTTTCGGTGAATTCTTCCATCAGCCGTTACATATACCTCTGTATTCTGTTGCTTTTCACCTTAAATTATTTTTTGTCTGATAATAATGTCACTGCATCATGTTCTCTTTGGTTAGTATTAGAAAGTCACACTTCATAACATCTATTATTTTTACAGTTTCTGTGTGTAGATTTATGTGTCTCCTATAAACTAAATATAGCTGGACTTAACAAATGGCATATCTAATAACCCGTGTTCGTAATAGGCTTTTAAAATCCATTTGCACTCCCTGTTTCATTATCGATATATGCGCATTTGTTTATACCACTTTTCTTTGAAGTTTTAACATTCATTTAAGTTCCTTTTTCACTCAGATGGCAGCATTGCACATGTGCTGCTTTGCACCTGGCTTTTTTTATTGCTGTAAAATAAGCATAGCTTAATGTTTGCCACTTGGCCACTTTCAAGTGTATTTTTAAGTGGCATTAGTCCCATCCACAGTGCTGGGCAGCCTCCACCTCTGTGCCCTCACCGAGCTTTCCATCATCCCAAACGGAGACTCCACACCCATTCCACACCTCCCCGTCACCCCCCGTCACCCCCCGTCACCTCCCCGTCACCTCCCTGTCACCTCCCTGTCACCTCCCTCCCCAGCCCCTGGTGGCCCCTCGTCCACGTTCTGTCTCTGAATCGCCTGTTTGGGGCCCCTCACGTAAATGGCATCATACAGAATTTGTCCTTTTGTGTCTTCCGTCTTTCACTCAGCGCGACGTCTTCAGGTTCCGTCCACGCTGCAGCGCGTGGCAGCGCTTCCTCCTCGGCCCGGCTGCTCTTCCGTCGTGCGGATGTGCCACGTTTTGTTTAGCCGTCCACCTGCCGTGGGCACTGGGGTCGTCCGCCTTCCGGCTGTGGTTGGGGTGCCTCTGTGCGCACGGGTGTGCGCGTGCCCCGGGGTCAGAGTCACCCAGACGGAAGCCGTGTGGCCTGCAGCGCCGGCCGGCTCTCCCGCGTGTGCGCCGCACTCTCGTTGGCTTTGCCCGCGGCCACCTGCCCCTCTGACGGGCTGCCGCTGTCTCCGCAGGTACTGCGACTGCTTCGCTAGCGGGGACGTCTGCAACAACTGCAACTGCAACAACTGCTGCAACAATTTACGCCATGAAATCGAACGCTTTAAGGCCATTAAGGTAGCGTTTCCATTAACGATGCATTTCCATTAACGATGTATATTTTAAAAGTATTGAAAAGTGCTTAAGATATTCATGAAACCATCCAGAGGTTTCCGATTTCAATATCAGGGGACCCGAAGTGTTGAGGACTCAATCTTGACTGTGACTCTATTCCCATGACAGGGCTGTGACGAGGGATGTGGCCTCGGGGGAGCCTTGCCCCCAGCAGGGCGGGGTGGCCGCACAGGTGCAGCAGAGTCTCGAAGGCCCTGATGTAACATGCAGATGTCCGCGTTGTCTCGATTCGGGATTGAGAAATTTGGGTCCGATGTGTAGCGGAGAGCCCACGATGGAAGAGTGTAGTCTGAACGAGTGTGGCTGGTCCGCTGTCAGAGAACGGGGTGGCATGTGTCCAGTGTGGATTCCCCTGGGCTTCCGGGTGAGGGGACAAGCTAGGCTCCCTTCGGGGCCGGTAGCCTCGCGGCCTCTCGCTAAAGACTAAACGCGGGAACCTGCAGCTTCGCCCATCTCTGCAGGCACGAGGGGTGATCAGAGGAGGGAGGACGGTTGGCTCGGGGCCTCGGCCTGCTCCAGGACACCCCTCGGTGCCCTCTGTTATGCAAAGGGGAGTCAGCCACCGTCCCCTGTAGACTCAAGACTGTCACACTATGCTTCAGTTGGTCTGTCGATCTTTTCTGAAATAGTTTAATTCCCCTGTTGGATAAATCAGTTGAAAATATCTTTGTCAGTTTGGGCACAGCTGCGTCCACAGGACAGAGGAAAGTCACTATGCATCTAACTTCAGGGGGCGGCATTTGCTTCAGGGGTGAAGGGAGCCATCTGCAGAGGAAGGCGCGAAGCTCCATTTAAAGGTGCGGGGTTCTCGCGCACGGCCGGCAGGAGCAGAGACCGGAATGGCTGCTCGCGGACTCTGCTCGGTGACAGCCACCAGAGCTCAGCCTCTGCACGAGCTCAGAAGTGTTATCCCTGAAGTGATGGCCGACAGAGAGGACCTGGGGACGCTCGCAGCGGCTTCATTCATGGCGACTGCGAACCGCACACAGCAGACCTGTGCAGGGGTGCTGCGGGGTGGGGCGCTGGGCGGGGGGAGAGTAGGGGCTGCAGCTGCGTGCGGCCGCGTGCAGGAGCCTCGGGCACCACGCCGGCAGCAGAAGCCAGATGCCGGGCACACGCTGCTGCCACCATGTACACGAGGTTCTAGAACAGGCAAAGCCGAAGCAGTCGAAGTCACAATAGCGGTTCCCATGGGGGCTGTCGGTGGGGGGCAGTCATGAGGGAGCCGGAGGGCCGGACGGCCCTCTCGCCTGCCCTGGCTGCACAGGGCACGCCTGCCCAAACCTGTCGCACTCCACTCCACAGACGTATGCACGCGCTGGCCCGGCCGCCGGGGGCTTCTGCAGCACAGAGCCCGCTGCCAGCCCGTGGAGGGGAGTGGCGACAGCGACCGCCACTGTGACTTCCGCGTTGCCTGAACCTTTATAAAGAGCATCGGATCACTTTGTTACTAAAATGTATTCACATTTGTATGTCTAGATAGATAGATAGTAGACAGAGATAGACAGATGATAGGTAGACAGACAGACAAAGGTAAACAAGCCGGGTCGGACGCCGGGCAG